ATACATGTACACAGACACACAATACACACGAGTATGCGTTTGAGGAAGGAGATGCGTTCGTTACACGTAAATACACGCATGCAGCGCACGACGAGATACAGCAATTTCGCCGTTTTCTAAATTTGCTTGATGAGCCGTATTTGCGATGGGATTGAAATTATTGTTACGAGAGTGAGCCACGATATAAGATTTTCGAACTTCTTATTCGGCGGAGAAAAGACGAATCTCGTCGGCGCTGAGCACTGCCACACGTAAAGAGCTATATCGTTAGGTCGACATGGAGCGGAGGCGAGCGATGGTTGGGAGAACACGACGCTTTTCTGCGCACGGGTTAATTATCCTGGTTCTCCGAGAGAATGCGTTAATTATCGTAGCGTATCCCACGTGGTGATGGTACACAAGTGATTCTAGTTGTTTTAATCGTTTAAGATAGATGATGTACGTGTTTCCTTTTCACCGTTTCTTTTCTCTATCTCCCTTCTCTCCTCTGAGATCTCTCTCCGCCTATCTCTTTTATATCGCGTGTAGCGAATTAAATAATCCGGCCACGCGAGGAGTGCACTTGGAGTGCGCGGAAGGCGTCGCGACGCGACTCTTATCCTTTGTCCTCTTTCGTAAGTAATATCGGCCGCTGGCCCAACACACGTCGGCGATTCGGGGCACGAGCGATGGACGACGGGCCCATCCCGAGATATATCATTCGTTGCGTAGCGAACAAACCCTTTTGTACAGGATGCCCTCTTGTAAAATATACTTTAAGACGCATCGTGTTATTCTAACGAACGACAGTTACGCCCTTGCTTTCCCCTTTTTCAACCGAACGTGAAACTTGAGACAAATGAAAAGGAAAACGAAACGTGCCCGACGATCGGATCGCGTAGCCTCCCAATCGCAGATTGGACGAGTGCATCGTCGACGTTAATCGTGGGCGTCGTCGTAAAGGTATAAAAATACTACATGTACACGACACGAAAATACGACCATCGTGCTTAAACGTAAGCTAGCTGCACAGGCTCGCGTGCACTGGCCCCTTTCCCCTCTATCCCCCCCCCCTTCTTTTTAAGTTTTTAGATGTTTATTTTTCCATCACCGTGAGAATCGGTGACGGCGATCGAGAGAGCGAAAGTGGAACCGACGAGGAGATATGCGTTTTTTATGAAATAACTATAAAGTTTATGAGAGAGAGAAGAGAGAGAGAGAGAGAGAGAGAGAGAAGAGAGAGAGAGAGAGAGA